GAGAGGAGGCAAGTGTGGCGGCCTTGAGCGAGGCTCTTTGTGCTCGGCTCGGGAGATACCAGGCGAAGAGTAGCGCGCCAGCGAAAGGACAACCAGCGCTGCTCGCTGTGTGTACAACTATACTTGCTGCAGCTATGCGCGCGGCGTGTGTGTCACAAGCGGTCAGTCAGTCGGTTGTATACGTGAGAGTAGGGAGAGCTGGCTCTGTCACTTGTATGCTGGGCACTGTACATCGATGATGATCGAGAGGGAAAACAAGGCTGCTGCGCTGTGGATGAGTAATTAGAGAAAGGAAATCATCGATCGGTGCAGCGATTTTTTTTCGCATAGCGTATGCCTGTGTACTACTCTTTTTTTCTTATTCAGTATAATGTCCATTCGAAGCACAGATCCTAACTCATACGAAACACGTTGTGTCCAACGATGGCGTCATTACAAGCGCGCGTTGTTATTTAGAAGGATTGCGAGATATAAAAAAAAAAAAAAAAAAGCTGCGCAGTTAGCTCCTGCTCGGCAAAATCGGTGAATCATAAGTGCAGTCGCGTGGACCGGATCAATTTTCCGTTAAGTACAAGTTCTCGCACTTGGCTTTTTCGTTTCGTGGAATCAACGAACGACGCTCTGCAATTGGCCAGCATCGTCCATAGAAATTAAAAAAAATGGGGTAGTGGAGGGAAAAGTGAGAAAAAAGGGTCCAAAGACAAGCGATTACTTTTTTTTTGCAGGTGGATAAAAAAATATGAATCTGAGATTTCTGATGTAGGTACAGCTGATTTCTTATAATTTCGTGTTTTTTACTGTACTGAGTACCAAGAAATGGAGTGCCGATAAAAGGATGCTCCATCTTGTGTTCATTGTTATTTTGGAAGATCTATCTTCGAATGCACGTTATGACGTATCGAAAGATTTCTCCAACTTCAATGCACGTGCTGTATTTCGAATCATCCATGTAAGAAAGAAATAACTGTTCACCGATGTAATTGGATTTTTTTTTCAATTTATAGTGTCCCAATATCCTTCGACGTATCAATTACGATGTTGTACCGTTACACACTCAAACCCAAGTGCGGTTGATAAAAGTGACGCGAGTATCGCTACAGTACAAAGGGCCCGGTTCGCGCGTGCGATGCAGTTGTGACTCACGTGTGCTCTGACACACGTGTGCGCTTTGGTCTACCTACATAACACACGTTCGTTCTTACATGCGTCGAAAAAAAGGTCTCGATTACGGTGCCTATCGTCTAGTTTTTTTTTCACAAACGTACGTGTACTAAAGACGATCTCTTTTCCAAGTTCAGGTACATGCTGGTATCTGCCACATGCGCGCACACTCTGCTACTGCACTTTTTTGCGAATTCAGATAGCTCTGCCTCTCTTTTTTTTCTCGTATCTTTATAACCCTTACCTTCCCATTTGAACATGTGTATCTCTCTGTCTCTTATTTCGAGGTCATAGGGGCTTTACTTGTACATTTTTCCTCGGATCGGTCACAATTAAAATTTTTTTTTTTTTATTTCCATCGGTGAGCGGATGAATCAGTGTGTCGCTTGTTTACGCGTAGCGTAACGTAGTACATTGAGACAAAAGAAAAAAATCGTTGAGTGCCGTAACGTAATCTCTGCAAAGCGATGCAGAGAAAACTTAGTTGTCGCATGATAACAATATGTTATGTGTTGGTAATAGTATACGTGGCAGTGCAGCTATGTATAACGTTGATTATCATACCACTAAAATTTGAGGTAATAAATAGGTTTCTCCGTACGATGGAGTATAATAAAAAAAGTTTAGCACTATCGGGCGAAGCTAATACTTAATTTTTCCCTTTGTGTCCTATTGCTGCCATTTCCCACGTTTTTTCATTGCAAAAGGGCATTTAACTAGACGCATCGGCCAAAGATAACCATATCATGGAGGAAAACAATGGGCTGATCAATCGCACGAATTAATATCAACAAAAAAAAGTCTGGAGAGGAAAAAGGTAGGGTGTTATAGGAGCAGGCGCATCGCGTTAGTGATCAGCGAATTAGTGACGATTAAAATATTTAAGCGTACCTACATGTGCATGTGCACATACGTATACACTGCACAATGCGGCTCGGTCATCTTTGTTCCCACTGTAATGAGTGTATGTATAAAACCTTAAGTTTATATATAGTATAAATTGTGAGTATATATGTGTGCATGCATATGCATGTGTGTGAACGTGTGAGAGAGGCGGATTTTCTTTGTTTCGGCGAGCGATGCATGGCAAATTAGTCGTACACACGTAGTACACACTCGTGCGACTTTTCGCCTATATGCTTATATATATGTATATATCGGTACAAGCTGCTTAAGCGACACTTTATCAGATTAATATAATTTTTCCCTACGCCCCAACTCGTCATCATTAACTCCCAAGTTTGACATCTATTCTTGAGATTGTATCATTAAATTTATATTTTCATCATCATCATCATCATCATCATCATCATCATCATCATCATCAACATAATCATCATCTAATGTCAAGGACGAGATCAGTAAAACTTACACGTTATCATGGACTCACTGGCACCCCGAAAGGTTGCTCGACCACTAAATTGACAGTTGCGGAGCATTTTATTTAATTTACTTTCAGTGGTACATGCATTCACGTAAAAGAACTCGTTATATTAAAATTGTGCGTACCTAGATACTTGGTTATCACGCAGTAAGCAGTTTGTCTTTTAAAAAACAACATTTGTTGTCTGACCATCGTTGACTTGTACTACTTAACCCCCAAATTAACGATTTTCGTGACTGAAAATGATAATGCTTGCTTGTTGATACTTTCTTGCTGAATTCAAGTTTCGTCCCAAAAAAACGAGTGTATGCAAGAAAGAAACGCGTCAATCCATACATCTTGCACAATGATTTGACAGACTTCGAAAAGCTCCAAAGCCGCCGACGTAGAGAACGAGACAGATCTCACAGTGCGTGACCTGTAAGAGCGAGCTCGGTCACGCTTACAAATATATATACATTGAGCGCGCGGTGGCTCAGTCGGCTAGGTCGTGGATTGGCACGCGGGAGACCGTGGTTCAATTCCCGGCTAGTGCGACTTTACGGGCAAGTACCTCTGTGATTTTTCACATGTGCTTTTTCACCACGCAATGCTCCTCGAGGAGGGTTAGGCGACCTTCTCGCAGCACAAATAGCCTCATTTCTCCCTACCCCCCTCCTAGTAATGGGAGGCCTCCCATCCCTCATCCCTTCCTTCTCCCAAGTGCTAAGTGCCCATAGTAGTGCCCTTATTAAAGGAGCTGGACGTAGAGCACTATAATATAAAAAAAAAAAAAAAGTATATACATTCCGTCTTTGCCTCGCTCTCGCGAATTCGCCCCAGATAAAAGTAATCGCTATGGTCAGACGCGCGGTCTGCCATAGCTCAGTAGATAAAGCGCGTGCTGTCTCTTTTTTCTAGTTGTGAGGGTATAAATACGTATACTCGTCAGATAAGAGTTGTCGGTTTTAGTGTGTGTTGGTAACTCTTTCGCGATGTATGGGGGAGATGAGCCCACGTTCGGTGCTTTTTTTTTAAACATTCACGATATGGTGGACAGAGTCGGTGCGGTTTTGTTGAATCGCACTTGTATGCGTAGCCTATTACAGTTTCGAAACGCGAGCAGTTTATGTAAATCAAGCTTTTTTCTCTTTGTCTAATTAAATCAATGAGACGATTTAAAAAAAACTCCAGTGTATACATTTATTACAACTGTGCTGTGTCTCTTTTTGCGGCCAAACAGAGCGTTTTATGGTATCAGCGTTTAACGAGCAACGCATGAGGAGATAAATTTTTTTATCGTAGAGAAAAAAAAACCTGTGGTGTTGTATACTGCAGCGACGACAAAGAACCGCGCCATGAAAGTGACGAAAGTTTATTAATAGGACAGGGTGGTAAATCCGAGGTTAAAAATATATACACATACACTGGCTCGTTGAAACGCCATAGAGCGAGAAACAGTTCGCGGTGGGTATGTAATTGCGGAAAAGGAGGTCGAGCCGAATAGATAATAAATGCATTCGTGGAAGGAGAGGCGCTCACCGCGTTACGTTTTTACAGCTGTATCCATCTCTGATTTTTTTTCGGCCTCATAAGTAAGCATCGCTAGAACGCATATTTATGGATATACAGCTATGCGTGTAATAGGCTTTATCGGAGGTCATGGCGCTCGTACTTATCACTTCTGCGTGTGCTGGCTCGCTACAAACTATCATTAATCCAATTTTTTTTCACATAAATACGGATGGCTTTTTAATCAGTTTTATTGTGGATGGATCTGATTTATAATATCTCGACTTGAGTTTATGTGATGCCTCGCTGTACTTTGTATTTGTGAGCGTCTCTACAAAAAATTCGTCAATACTGACACTCACTTCATTATTTTTAGGATGGTAGTTTCAAGTTTGTAGTTCAAGCATTTTACAAGTATCAAACAGATTGTATACAAGTGTGGTCAATACATGCCCAGAATTCTAGCATAATGTTTCAAGAAAGTCTTTATGGCCAAACAAAGTAAAACATGAAAAAAGCATAGAATGAAATAAATAATAAAATTATGATATGATATAAATATTCAAAGTTTATAATAGAGCAATAGCACTATACTTGATGTGCACGCAAGGTAACCATAAACAAGCAGTATTGTTGTAACCTTGTTCACAAAAAATTCAACATGAAAAAGATAAAATACAACACATTAAAAAAGGGATTTTTCTAAAATTAGATCACATAAAAATGGTAGTAGTACACATTCGAACATTAAAAATAAACTTACTGTGCTCAATAATTGTGGTTGGAAAATGATATTTTAGATTTTAATTATTGTTTATCGATTGAAACATTTCATTTTATCATTTTAACTAAGTAACAAAATTTTTGCAAATTCTTTTGCATGTGTATGAATGTCGAACTCAAAGTATCTAAAACATAAAACGCTTAGCTCTTCTAAATCTTTACAATTTTCATGAACTTACAGCTCGACTACCACGCCGACAGTCCTCGGAGCGCGAGTCGCGCGACCAACAGATGTTGCTGGTTGACTCGGACCTCTCGCGACTACCACTGCCAGACCTAGTGCTCTCCGCCATGCAACAGATGCCACCACCACCACCCCAGGTGACCTCCTCGGCACCCAACAGTCCGACCCGCGACGCGACCTTCCAGTTCCCGGAGTGCGGAGGCATCGCCAGCAACAACACCAATAGCAACACCCACAGCAACAGTAATTTAAGCAGTGCAAGCTCACTGGAGAACATAATTGCCGGCGCCAACATATCGGCTATGATGCCATCGGCGATGGCACCGGTGCCAAGTCCGAGACCAAAGCCCCGTAGGCGCAGGCTCACGTCCGAGGGATCATTGCCGGACAAAGCAGAATCGAGGCTTGAATGCAGCGCCACACACGGTAACTGCTGCGTGCACCATCTTGCCAGTAGCCTAGACGAGAGGGAGTGGGCGACCGTAGGGGCTAATCTCAGGACCATCGCTGACGACTTCCACGCAGCTAAAACCAAGGTTGGTTGACTTTTTTTTTGTAATTACGATTTTGCAAAATGTATCATGAACAGTTACTAAAAAAAAAAAAAAAAAAGAATTATACTTCTCCCTACCTCCAAAATATTTAAAAATGAGTATTCCGTTGTTCTCGTCACTTCTCGTGCGTCCACGGAGTGCTAAAGAGCATTCGCTCAGTCCGAAAGGGTTGTTACGTTTATGACGACAACACGTTTCTCGCGACAAGTAGACGAAGAACAAGCGAGCCCTTTAAAAAACCAATGACCCGACAAATGAGATTTTGCCACGCCAGAATATGAAGCCGCTACAGTTCGTGAGGGAGGGAGAGGCTTTAACGGTCTTCGGAACGAGCTTTTATTGTGCTCCGTGTACTCTCTTATTAGCGCGACTCGTGCCGGACCTTTTGCGTGCCTTGATCGTCGTAAATGAGCCCTAAGTGCAAAGTACGGTAGCGCGAGCCGCGCACAACACATACACCTACTTATGGTATATATCTCGGTGGATTCATATTCCATGATATTGTTGCGAAGCTCTACACTTCTCAAGCTACTGTAATTTCCGATTTTATTGCTTTTGGGCTCGGGATGATTTCTACGAGAACGCGAGAATCCGCCATTGTTGTATTTCAGTAATTAACTTTATAGAGGGTAAGGGTTTTATTTGAAAAAAAAAGCTACACATTATTGTCTTCATTATTTAAAATGAGTAGAGTATTATTCAACAAAACGACGATCAATAGAAAAAATAGGAATTGACTAGAACCTAGAAAAAAGAGAAATTAAATAAAAAAAAAAGGAGAAAAAGAAGACGAAGAACACACAATAGAATTTAAGTAGAAACAGTCAGTGTCTCGTCGGCGCGGCTTATCAATTAAAGCTCCTCCCTTCCGATCCCCGCGGTGCTAAGAAGACAAGAAGAATAATGGTTCTTGGCTCTTAGAGGGGAACCCGGTAAGGGAGGGTCAAGTCTCATTGAAACGGCGAATCTTTGAAATTACTCGCGAACGATCCCCCCCTCCAACATGAAGAAGAGAGAGATTTCTTCAATTTCACGGCTGTCTTCTTTCTTGCCCCCTTCCTTCGATTACCAGCACTTAAACAGTAATAATTAGACGCCCCCAGGATTAGATCGTTCTCGGGACTTTTCGAAGGCAAGCTGAGCGGAGTCTCCGGGATTAAAACAGATAATAAAAGTACAAGGTGAACGCTACACTCGCCCTCCTTTCCATTTCTTGTCTCTTTTTTTTCTTCACTACGTTATTAACCCTCTTGCACTCCACAGTGAGTATGAATCATTGTAGATTGACCCTGTCAGTTTGAAGTCGGGAACATTAAGGCTACCACTCACTCTATTGTGTAGTTCAAAGAGACTTTTTCATCGGAAATGCGGATATTTTCTCATTTTCTTACAAACGAACCGCGTTTTTGGAAATAATTGGTCGAATGAATTTATGGAATTGGAAGCGGAGAACGTGCAAAACAGGGAACGTAGACCGATAATGCATATTTGATCGACGAGCTGCTTATAAGCCACAACATGAGTGAGGGGCGACGGGGTGGTGTATGGGTACTTTGTGTAATACACAGTCCCCGTGGTGTTGATATTTATGGCACCCCTGAGATCTCCCAGGGCCAAGGGAATTCGATAATGCAATGGCTTAGGTCGAGCCTAGGCATCAGCTGGCAGCAAGTGTTTCTCTCTATCATCCCATACGATACAGAAGCAATGTATCGGGCGGGACGCGCTCTTCACGGGAAAGTTGAATTCTGTTATATAAATATACGGAAGGCGCCGATTGACTTATTGTACTTATTGACTCACAGAGGCCGTCAAATTTCACGGAATCGACATCTTAGTGCTTCTTACGTCGAAATCATTTCGTTTTCGCGTCGTAAAAAATGTGATCGATACAACGCACGCAGTTCCTGAGCGGATTTAATTGCATTGTAATGGCTCATCCGAGAAGCTATACGAAAGTAAAACCCATCATCAGTTGCTCGCACTTGGTATTTTATTGAATAACGACGGCATGGACGAGTACAAGTGCAATTAGCCACGCGAACTTTCTCGCCAGAAGCTCACGCAGCTCTCCCGTTCTTTCTTCGTTAAGAACACGTGTCACTTGACGCTGTCGTCGAACGTGAACAATTTTCTCATTTCGATCGTAAAGGGCGTGAGCGACGTTTTTACGACAGGCCCCACATTCAATATCTGCGACTAACGGTTCGCACAAAGGTATACATTAAACACTAAAGCAGCTTCTTCGACCGACAGTTCGGGAAAAAATCACAGTGGTGTTTTCAAGGCCCAGAGTAATTACCCTACGCCACCGTACCAAAACCTCCTTGGCTGATCGTTTTTCTTGTTTGTTTGCCGCTGAATGCACGTTTAAGTCTAGTACATACACCATGTATAATGAGACAACTTGCGTGATGTTTCACCTTCTGTCGTGCATGTACACTGTTATTATCGTTATTATTACACTTATTATAGTCGCGTGCAAAATAAGCGCTAAGTAGTCGTCGGGGTACTTTTACGATTTGTTTTGCGTTCATGCACGTATGCGTGTATAATACAGGCGCGTCACGGATACTTAAGCCGTAAGGATATAAGCATTGTAACGACTCGGAAACAGCAGTTTTGGAAAATACCTAAAGTTGAGAGAAAGAGGAGAAATAACAACAGTGAGGCCAACGATCGCCGCGCCTGTTTGCAAGAATCCACAGGAACAAATTGCTTGACGCCCAAACGCATAAAGTGCAGTTGTGTTCTTTGTTTCCTCGTTTCAACCAGAAAATCGTGTAGAACCGAGCAGATGTCTATATTTTATTTTATCAGCAACTCCAACTGAGTTCCCTAAGAGGATTGGAGTTTGGTAAAACGCACATATATATGTATATTAATCTAAATAAATTTTTGTGAATTTTAAATGATTAATACCATAAACAAATTAACACTATATTAATATGTTTTATGTGAAGACATATACATATTCCACACCAAGTCTTAAGACTGAATTTGAGTTTAAAAACCTATAGCAAGAAAAAATTTTACTTTGCCTTTCGACCTACAAGACTAGCTCATAAATATATCGTTGACACCTTTGACTAGAAAATATATGGCCAGGTAGATACTCGCACCAATGTATGCTCGACTATCACAACGACAATGTCATCAGTAGGATTAAAGTAACGTGTTTTATGATGGTACATATGCACAATATCTACAAGTATTTCGCTCAAACTGATTTTTCCTGCCTCTTTCCACGAATTCACTGTCAATCATCTATTTCTCCGTCGTTTCACTTGAAAACGGTGTTGTATACAATGCGCGCAGCATATACAATCTACTGTGAGATGGAAGAAGAGAGTGGAAGGGGGGGGGTTAGGTGTCATTTTCGCGCTACTGTTTACAACTCCCAACTCTCGTTTCCCCCGGTACTCGGTGTATTTGCCCAGTCAAGTGGAAATCGAGCAGCTCGAGTCTTCAAGGCGTCCCGGAAACTGCATGGAGAAAACGACTAGATGCCGATATCTTTCTCTCTCGAGAGAGTAGCTCCTTCCACTCCCTTTCACGCTCGATACTTCCTCGGTTGGTTATGCGTTCCACAGTTAGGTGGAAAACTTTGAAGCAATGGGGAGTTCGCGTAAACGCCTCGCGCCGAGGGGCGGGTGTATTGTACGTACGTAGGGCGTTTTGGAACGAAGATTAATGAAACAGTTCTCTCGGTGCAAGCTAGTGAGCTGCCTAATGCGTCGCGTCGTACGTTGGGTGTGTGTGGTACGTGATAACGCTGTTGATTTTGCCGAATAAATGGATGGACATACGAACACTCGAAATGCGGCTAGAGGTGATTAATGAGTATTTAGAAGAAAATTCGTGATAAAATTTTCATCAGGTCTGCTAAGGCTTATTTTAAACGGCGGGGGAGTATAATCATCATTCCCCCTGATGATGCGAGAAAAAAGGTGGCACGGAAAGTGAATCACACGCGGGTGTTATAAATCTCGCCGAGTTTGTTTTCGTAGTGGCCTATGGCGTTCTGGCACGGGCTGCACTTGCCATCGAAAAAGTCAAACACGATTAACTCCTTGCGAAATTAGAGCTACCGCGAGCTGCGTGTATTTTCGTCTGCCTTGGCTACACTGTGTACTCCCCCTTTTCTGTCTTCGAAGGAAAGAGAATCAAAATAAAAGAATCAAACGAAAACGAACAGCAGAGTGCAAAAAGGTAAAGAGAAAAGAGGCTCGTGCATGCGCGTTGGTTCAGGGAAAGGGGGAAGATGTCACGCGCAAATAAGCCACGTATTTGCAAGTCATTGAGAGAGATACACAAAAATTATTATAGAGTCCATCGTGAAAGAAAGTTGTAAGACGTTTGAGTAGTCAATGCTTCATTGAGCGGACAATATTCAATTTTTTTAACCATTTTACGTTAACAGGTGATAAATTAACAAAGGTCATAATAAGCGCATCCTTAAGAAACAAATGTAATAATGTAATAAATGACTAAAAGATAATACATATAATCATACGAATGCCAATATATTCCAATATATCCCATAAATTCTGGCGTGTGAGATGGTACAAATACACTTGCACAGTGTGAATACCGTAGTATGGATATTATTTCGAGGAATGAGATGCTAAAAGTAGCTTGTCGAGCAGAGCCATAGGGAGAAGACTAGAGTGTGCTTATGTGCCGTCATATGTGCCCCCTGCGTTTCATTTGGGTGATGAATGTTTGTGGGTATGGACGCGATCGTGCGAATGTACGTGTAAGGAGAGAAATAGGTAATTGGGAGAATTTGAAAAACAACGTGGAAAAAAGAACTTGTTCCGTGTTCGAGTTTGGAAATTAAATGATCTGTTTATGAGACCGTTTGCGTCAGGTTTTTTCTAATTATTATTACATATTCTATAGATCTATAGATGTCTTGTTGATAAATATTGAAAAATATAACATGTTATGTCGTTACCATTATGTTGAAACAAAATAGAATATTACAGTTTCCTATTTTTCTGATGTAAATTTTTTTTTTAAGGCCCATGTTTAGGATGTATAATTATAAGACTTTCATAAATTTACGCACTACAAATTCATTATTAGTTTCTTCTACAAATACTGTATCCTTTCTTTTGAAATTTCATAAGATTCACAATAGAGATTCACGCCCGAAGGAACAATGGCAAGTCGCATCTGAAGGACCTTAAAAAATCCTCCCATCAGCAAAAGATCTACTAGCTTAATGGTAACGGAGTAAAGTGGAAATGGCACATGCGAGCGTAAACCACGGAGTGACACCAAAATCAGGCTCCTTAGCGCGCGTAAATCTCTTTAGGCGGCGCGTGGAAAGGAGCGACGATAAAGACACACCACGTACAGCTACCTATACGCACCGAAAGACGAGCGAGAACGATCCCTTTCCGTCTCTTTTTCCACTCCCTTCGTAGAGCCTTTACATATGTATGGAGGGGAAGATGTAAGCGAGCATGTAAACGAGGGGCCCTTCTTTAAGCCTATGTATATGCAAACGTGTGTAAGGATCGGGTGAGCAGGAACCAACCCACTCTGCGAGGATATTATCTTCAATTATCTTTCCATGTGCCAGGAGGCTCCTTTTCCCTATTCCACGCTGGGCTCACTTACGCGTATCACAACTAGGTGTACTCTGTCGTGTCGCTCGTTAATTAGGCGTACCAAACGTGCGAGCTTCTTAATCGCGTGCGTGCACAAGGCGGATATACAAATGAGATAGGGGAGGCGGGCTCACCTGAGTGATTTTTCGCCGTCATTTGGGAGCAAAGTGAGCGTAAAAGACGCGCGTGAAATATGTTTGAGGTGTAATGTATTATTCGCGAGACTCTTTTTGCCATTTTGCTTCTAATTTGCAGTACTGCAGTACTCAAACTATGTGTCTTGATAAGAGTAAGAATGTTGAATTGTACAATCGATCAAAAGCCCGGTATAAACCAACGTACCACGAATATTTTATTGCAATGTATTCATGTCAGATTGCTAACCTACGTAAAGCTTTCATTCAAACTTTGACGTTTCATGACTAGTTGTTTAAATGTATATACACATCATAATCATTTTAAAATGGGCGTAAGATCGTAGATTTAAAAATCAGGACGCTGTTTCGACTACGATTACCGATTTTTAAAGTTATCTGCGATCCTTGAATTCAAATTACAATTATAATCAATTTATTGAGGACTGTCGACCCAAGGTTTAAAATCTGACTAATCTTACAGAGAGAGAGGGACGCTGAGCTGGGACTGCTAGAAAACAATGAACTAGACAAATTTGTGATTTTTTTTTCATAAACTCGCTCTCGGAACAATCAAGATCGATACCTAACGAGTCCTCGAGACACCTTCGTAAATACATGCACTCATACTTAACACTTTCCAACTATCCCAACTAGTTACGCACACACACCTTGATCGTATAGCACCTCAGGCCTCTTTTTTTCATCCACGTAGGCGCAGCACCTCCCTCTCTCTCTCTCTCTCTCTCAACTGGGTTTTACTACGCTTAGGCTCATAATTATCCTTGCGCAATGACTGTACACACAAGCACCCATGCCCCGTAAACTCGTAAAGCCTCGGGGCACGCGCGCTCACGCTCTTTTACACCGATCCGAGTCCATTCGCGAACGATCTTTGCGCCATTACGGCTCTTTGGATGAGGAATATGCTAAGGAGGGGAGCGGATAGAGAAGGCTCGTACTCATGCAGGGACTTTTTCACGCATTTAATCCCAAGATTGTACACGGCCATGTTATTGTATTATAGGGTTGTGTACGCGTACAGTGTCGCACACTTATATCTCCTTTTATAAGTATATATTATGGTATAGATGTATTCGAGCGTAAATTAACGTAAGAGTTTCGTAATTTACTGGTGTAATCTATATGTGCAGCTTGTACAAGAAATATATGTGTTATGCGCCCGTTTCCAAGTCTTTGCGAGAATTAATTGGAAAAATTTTTGTGACAGATGGAATATCGGAGCTCTTATTGGAGTAGGTCGATTTAGTGTAGTTAATATGTCTACATTTTACGGTACCAGAGTAGCAAAACTGATACTTGTCAGTTATAACTTGATTACTAAAAAATACATGTATACATTTAATAGTCCTAGATTTTGATGACTGAGATAGTAATACTGATAACAAAGGAGTTTTGTTCGAGAAAGCTAGCGGTATTGCGGCATATCACCACGCGGGTAATTTTTCCACTACTTTTTTTTTTTTTTAACATAAAAATGCTTTAAAGGAGAGCATTCACATAACATGTCTGTAGCTATAAATAGTGATTTCTCTGCTGCACGTGTTATCACGCATAAATCTTCATACATGCCCACCAAGTAAATAATACGACACTCGCCCGCATTTTCGTAATACCGCGCGATAGTACACAGTATTCCCACTCGAAGTGATTCCTTATGCAATTAACGGCCTCCCCCGACTACCCAGTAGATATTCAATCGACCGTGCGATTTTCTGTGGGTCCCTCTTTTATTTATTTTCGTCCATACACATCCAAACGTCCCACTCTGCTCTGGAGAAAACGGAAAAGCAATCTCTCGTGCGCGAAAAGAAACTCCCTGGATATTAATTGACAACGAGCGTACAGTGCCATAATTCTCGTTTAATGTGACTTTTTCGCACTCCCTGGCCATGTATCTGCACGATAATCTAGGCAGTTACGTGAGTATACAAAGAAAACGCCATCGGACTCTCTCGGGATTGTGACGAAGATCGGAGGTCGAAGGGTCGACGTGCGCAAAGTCGTTTTGTTTCGCACTTTCGTGGGCGGGCGATAAAAGTGATTCACGATTATTAGCGGCTTCTTCGCGCAGGACAAATGGTCTCGATATGTGAGCACTTTTTTTTAACCTTCCTTTCCAAGCCCATACTTTCTTCTACGTTTAAGTCGCACAATGTTAAATAACATGATCCATTATAATTTTTTATTTTTTATTTATTAAATTGAAGTGTTTGAAACCTCTTTGACCCAAGTGTGATGGTCATGTTATGACGGCCTCGTACGACTGCGTAGGACCTCAAGTCCATAGTTAGTCAAATAAATTATATTTTATTTTATTCCATACATGCGCTGCACTGATAATTTGTATAACACCCGACTAAAGATTTGTCCCGTTTGTCTTATTGTTGCAGGACGCCGAAGTAGAAAAGTCAAGGCTGCCATTCATCGGGTCGAGCAGCGCCACCAGCTTGGCGGATGTTGTGAGCTCAGCGCACAGCCCAACGACTGGATCGACGGAGGGCTTACTGTCCTCGCTGATCCCGGCGCCGTTTCGAGAAACCCTCTGGACGACGATAGCCCTCTATCTGGGTTGGCGGCTGGTCTCACGCCTGCGATAGGTTCTCGGCTGCAAGGCGCCTCGCGGCCACGCCCTTACCTCTCCGTGCTCCCTTTTAATCGGACCCCGTGCTTAGAGCACTGCTCAGGGGAGACGTTCGATGAAGGAAGGGAAGATGCTTGCTTTTTTGATGATATTGGTAATCAAAAATCAACGCGATCAACCTTTGTTCCGGTCGCAGCCGACGCTGGTGGTTTTAAGGATGGCCTCTGAGGATGAGGCTTTTCTTGAAAGAAGCAGAAAAAGAGAAAGAGAGAGAGAGAGAGAGAGGCTTCGATACTTAAAAAGATGACGAGGACTACAGAGAAGACGTCTATTGCCAGAGAGAGGAGGAGAGAGAGAAAAGTGGTGAGAGAAGATATAAGCGAGCAAGCTCTCTGCAGCAATACTTCTTCCGATCGTGTCTTTTACTTTTTAACTATTGTATATACGCGCTCATCGTCCGCGGCTTTCTGGTGCTCAAGAACACAAGGCATCCGTGTGCCCTCCGATCTTATACTAGTAGGATTGTTGTTCTAACGTCGATGTTGGAGGAATCAAATTCAAAATCGACGGAGTAAGAAATTAAATAAAACAAAAAAAAAAAAAATCAAAATTCTGGGTGCTCGTGCACTTGAACACCAAAGGCCACGGCCCGGCCATGGCGTGCCATCTTTTTGCGCGATCTCGTAGACGATAATATAGTCGAGAGCAAAGGTGCGGGGAACGAGCCTCCCTTACGAAAACTCGCTTTTTGCTTCGACCATGTGTTTTCTATTTTTTATTGTTTTTTCTTGATAAACTTTTTACGCGATTCAACAAAGAAGTAATTATTATGATTAAAGAAGTAATTATATATCCTGCGCGAACTGGACCGGATGAGGAAGAGGCGTTTTTATAAATCACTGCGTTTTGTCTGAAGCGAAGCGAACAGAAAAACTAAATGAGCAAGGAATAAACATGTAAGTTTAATAAAAGTAAAAATTATAAGTAAAAAGCGTCGGGAGTTGAGTAAGGAGCTAAGAAAGAGATCCAAAGAGGACTTGAATCCAATTATCAAACGATGATCTCATTACGGATAAACAAAGAGAATTTTTTAAATAAAATAGTGTGACTGTAATGAAGAAAGATAGAGAGCGAAAAAAGTTATAGATAGTGGAGGATGCAAAATAATTAATAAATTTTTTATTAGACCAAGCGCTTGGGCGCTCAATTGACATGTGGTTAATTAAAAGTGTTAAGTACACTATAGACATAAATTAATATTTTGCTTTTTGATACTTTCGATTTTTACGACGATTGATGAGAACAACCGCCTTTATACGTGCCAGCGGCTCAAGCTAGTGTGAATTAAATTCTTATGTATATACATAAGTAAATTGTGATTTTTTAAATATAAATAATTATACAATCCCAACTAGTTACGCACACACACCTTGATCGTATAGCACCTCAGGCCTCTTTTTTTCATCCACGTAGGCGCAGCACCTCCCTCTCTCTCTCTNGAAAAACTTTTTTTTAGTAATTATTTTTAGTATTATTTTCATTACTGTAAAACAGCCAATAGTTGCCATTTAAGAAAAAAAATTAATAATAATTGAAAAAGTATATATAAATGAGTAACCCTGACGTTCGCTGACATGTATAAACGCACTGTAACAGCTTGTACATATAAATACAATTTTTCAAAACTTACAAGGAAATGGGGGACGTAGATCGCGTAATTAATAACAAATATTTCAACAGAAGTTACTTCTTTTATCGAGAAAAAGAAAGTGTGCAAAGGAAAGAAAAGAAGAGGTAGCGCGACGTTAATAATTGTGTATAGAAAGATTTTAAAAAAATGACTCTAAAATATAGAAAAAAAGCAAACGTAAGTCAAAGTTAATTAATTAAAGTAGATAATCGAATATAGACCGAGGAGCGCGGCATCTTGGATTGGCATTGCCGCGCGGCCCGTGGACAGTTTTCAAATGATCTCCGGTAGCTTAGCTCTTAGTGAGGCGCTTCTCATCCAGCTGTGTTTTACGCATTTGCTCTTGGAAGAGAAACGTCTTTTTTTCTTCTCCCCCCCCCCTTTTTTGTTTTTATTAATGTTTCTCTCCTCTAACTTGTTGCTTTTTTTCTCTCCTTTATTTTTTTATTTTTTTTATTTTTTATTTTTTTTCTTTATACTCATCATTATTACCTCCCATCCTCTCATTCCTCTTGTTCGTTTTCGTTATTATATCTCCTATAAGCTTTTTCGATGTACGCCTGTTCTATATCTGCTGTCGATTAAAAAAATTTTTCAACAAAATTTATAGTAATGTCATTAGTTTCAACGATGGTTATTCAGATTTNAAAACAAAAAATTCTGTATTCCGTGCTTTAACATTGCATCACGACGAAGCCATCGAGAAACCAAATCTTATCTGTATTTTTAACATTAAAATTAATATATAATATAAAATCGTACCGTAAACTTGTCTCTTAATATTTCAGTGTGTAGAAGAATAGTATTTATTTAGATAATATACTACCCAACTCCACCACTATCAAAAACGAGGCAACGCTTCCTTAAAACTCTTCTAGTTCTCAGTTTATTGTTGGTTTATCTTCAATCATTTTTTGTCAATACAATTGGCTCATAAGATCATATCAACGAATATGAATACGGTGTTGTTGCCTCTGTTATGATAAATTAATGGTTAAGTAAATTACAAGATTTTCATTGGTTGCTCTTTAACTATAGAATTTATTTTATAAATTTTATTAACTTGAGAGGCTGTGGAGGCTAATTATTGTAGCGCCGCTCACCATTTCGTATTTTATTCTGCTTTAAAGTAACGATATACTGAAGTATTTTTAGAGTAGAATGTACAAGTGTTATCTGATAGCGGTCATTTCACAAATTTTCTGAACATAATTATTCATGCTAGTATAAATAATTATTGTTCATAGGTTAGATTACCTCTGTATTTCATCAAGGTGCCATATATTAGTTTTTACTTTTTCTATTCTTAAAAAGATGAGTGCCCTTATCTAATAACTTTTCAATCAATTTTTAAAAAATGTTTCGAATTTTTTCACGAGTAGACACGTTAAGTTGGACATGACAAAGTAATTGTTAAATATAACTTATTTGTTCCACAGCCTCTCACAAAAATAAAATTTACAACCATAACAATAAAAAGTTTTTGGAGATGTTTCCTCGTTGTTAGCATGAAAATTGCACAAAATTTTAAGAAAAAAATGTTCTCAGTGATGACATCCTTAAACATTACAACGTTGTTATAATTAATGTGATTTTCTGTCGTTAAAGTCTACTTCTTCGGAGATAAAAGATCGAACTAAAGAAAGCGCGCATCAAGTCCCTTCTTTCTGAGATTCGGTGATATTGAGATAGTTATCAAGATAGGAAAAATTAAATCTAAAGAGGATCAGTGATGCGTAAAAGAGAGTACACAATGAATATATGCATTTTTCTTGATCATGTAAAATATAATCAATGTAACAAAATAAAGTAAAGGCCTGAAGTGAGAAACGAATGAAGTAAACTGTTGAAACGAACACATAAACGCGTGTACATACATAAAACCGCTTATTTTTTTTCAAATTTAGAATACTGTAGAATATTTATTGTCTTTGCACATACACAGTTATAGGTTTTTTTAAAATTTTTATCATTATTTTTTTTATTTTATCAAATATATTTTAACTTTCCTTTGTTTTTTTTGCGTATATAAAATATGAACTCTTAGAGTAGTAAACAGGTAGAAGCATTTTGTAGCTAGTAGTCAGCCATATGAAGAACGTAATAAACTATGAATAGACATTGATTAAAATCCATATACATATAATGGAAGAAACATATATAAAAAAATTATATACATACAAGCATAAATATATATTTTACATGGTATATTTGAAAAAAATGGCGATTATTGTTTTTGACGATAAGAAACGATTGAGGTGGGCGAGAAAATTTGCAAATAATGTTGCCAACTCTGACGACGTTGATGAAATATATCGAAGATTGTATGGAGTACTAAAAATTTGAAAATAATGCGAGATCGAAATTCACCTCTCGTTTTCGGAATGATTTTGACTTCAGATTCCATTTATTTTGCTTCAAGTTGGTTCAGTGAAATTGCTTCATCTATTTTTATTAGATTCTGACTCAGTAATGTCAATTTCGTACCGTAGACGAGATGTCGAGTCGAAAAGACAGATGAGAAATAATAAGCTGTAACTGTGACTATGAGGATCATGGGGGTAGGCTGTACCAGAAATTTTGTTAAGTAACAGCAATTATAAAAAAGTCAATTTTTATAGCCAAAAAACCTTATTATGGACAAAAAAACTATGGATAAAAAAAAAACAAATAAAAAAGTACAGCCCACCCACTCGAGATCCCCGCGCGTCAAAGCGTCACTGTGATCTCGTAAATATTAATAGATATCTTATTATAATAATGAATAATCGTATTGGATATTGTAGCGTTTCCCCTTCCCCATCCTGAACCCCGTGCCCATCCCTACCAAAATATTCCTTCGTCTCAATTCAAGGGAATTCGGAAGTTATGCTGAGAATTGAAGCCACTTGTTGATTTTCCGTGTAAATACAAAAAAACTTTTTTTCATACAAAAGCTATTTCCAGATCCCCCGTTAGTTATTATTATCAAAACAAAAAAGTAAATAAATTAAAAACTTTCAAATGATCTCTTGAAAGCATCGATTGCTGGGCGAGTTTGCATTTTTGTCGGTGTCTTTCGTCTACTGAGGTGATTTTACATTCAACTACACACTTTTTTTCGTGATTTTTTACAATTTTGAGATAATGCGACTGTCCTCCCTTTTTTTCTTCGTTTACCAATTAAAGACAAGGAAAAGAAAAATCGAAAAAGAGTACGAAAGGCACTGGCTATTAACGACCACCACAACCGAAGCGTGTTCTTTGATATTTGCGTTATATATAAATAGTTTATTATCCATTATTACATATTATATTATTAATAAATATTCATAATGATTGCTATTATTTACTATTGACTTATTTTTTCTCTGAGTATCGCATGCGTATTCTGTATTTTTTTAGGCCGAGAACAATCATTACTTTTTACTGCTTTAATAATATATTTTTAACGAAACTGAAGATTGTGGAAAAGTTTTTACACTTTTTTATTGTTTTCGTACATCCGACTAGTCTATACCAGACAAAGCATTGAGATTTTTTTAAAACGGATATTCATAATTTTAAGATGAGATTTCTTTTTGATACTCCATGCTGTTTTTTTGTATCGATTCTCCGATCACAAAACTGTTAAGCACTGTTTCTTAATACGAAAGAGAAAATGTACTTTCTTTCTTTTGAAGGAAAAAAATATCTAGAATTTTTATACACAAAATCATCTTTATCAGTATTTTACACTAATCTCGTTTTATTTTTATCCAATGCAATGCCGTTTGATTAAAAAAAATCTAAGGACTTTATTATTACAGTACCTTCCTATTTTATTCAAATTCCTTTTAAACTTATAAAGGGTTGTAATAATGTTTTCCAAAAAGGACGCACTTTTTTCGAAACAGTATGGAATAAAATAGAATTTTGTTTTAAACTTTCTTAGA